TCTGGATCGAAGTACTCAGCTTCGGTGGATCTGTGGTCATTGCTGCATTTGCTTGAGTTGGCCACGGGCGATGTCTTTTTGATCCTCACAGTGGTGACAACTATGACAGGGATGAGGTATTGCCAACTTTGTTTATATTCTTTGGATGAGACTCTCATTTTCTCTTCATCTCCATCTATGGGAGGTTGAGAGGCGAGATTTCCATTTCTTTTCGTAGGAAAGTAAGTATTATAAATAGCGTACTGAGGTGTATTAGTTGAAAAGAAAAAAGTACCTAGAGACCTGTGAGCTCATACCAGCCTATTAAAGATGCCTATCAAAACTTCATTAGCTGATGATATTTTACTTTTTGAACTTCATTTTAGTTTATTTTCCCATATGATGGTTTTTCTTTAAATTTACAGAAGTTTTCATGACAATCAAGAACAGCTATTTTCATTTGACCCAGAATCTTTTCCAACTTTTCCAGGGTGAATTGCAATAGGAAAATGTACATGGCGTTGTTGATTTGTTATTCCCACAACAAAGACTAGCTCTTCAACATTTAAACATAAGTTTTTGCTTAGGTTTCTATTTACGAAAGATGTTTTTGTTTAACGGAGAAAAAGCAGGGGAAGGTAGAGTCTGACCTGATCTTTGCTCAAGTTTATAGACGTATCCTTCCGTCTGCAATTGCAAAAAAAAAAAGTAAAAGATTACTGTTTTCCCGGATCATTGTTCCTGAACTTGCATTTAGTTAGGAACATGTTTGCAAAATAAACTGCCTTGAAGATATAATTCTAAAGATCGATGGTTTTGGTTGAATTGAACTAAACAAATATGCATGGGAAGCTGTTTCTTCCATCTACAAAGCGTTGAAATGAAAATTGAAAGCAAACAATTTCTGAAAGGTTAACTATATTTGTGAATTTGAATTAGTTATTCGTGCAGAAAAATAAATTGAGGATGATGAATCCTGATTTTCTGTGTTTTGTGCTTTCGCATGCGAACTTTCACATCGTTTCTCCATACCTTTAACTTTCAAATTTTACCTTTTAGGATCACTTGGCATTGATGATGGAGCTTCTTGGAATGATGCCACGCAAGGTAGAAATATCTCATGCATCCCGCTTGAAGTAAATCAGTTTTATGATATGTTATTTTATAAGCAAAGATTTAGCAACGATCTTAACTGTTATGCAGGGAATCAAACTTGAGAATGTTACTTGTGTTTCCTTTTTAAAAAAAAATTATATTCAAGTGTTAACAAATATTTTCTTTAGATTGCATTAGGGGGTTGCTATTCCCGAGATTTTTTCAATAGATATGGGGATCTGAGGCACATTCGTCGCCTGCGCTTTTGGCCTCTTAATAAGGTTTTCATGGAGAAGTATGATTTCAGTGAGCAACATGCAAATGATATGGCTGACTTCCTAATTCCCCTACTTGATTTTGTCCCGGAAAAGAGACCAACAGCAGCTCAATGCCTTAATCATCCATGGATCAGCCCTGGCCCGTTGCTTCTTGAGCCTTCTATGGCTGTGAATCCAGCACACAACTCAGATGCGAGTATATCTGAGAGGAAAAGGAGGGAAATTGACGAGAGGGAAGCGATGGAGGTTGGAGTAGGGAATATAGCAATTAATGGAGCTTCAAGGGTGTTGGAAGAACCCCTCCAACTAATTATAGATTCTCATAAATAGGATGTAAGGCTGGTTTCTAACTTTCCCAGAGTTAGCATTTTGTTCTTTTTTCTTTTATAATATTTTTCTTCTTCAATCTTATATTCTCTTGCCAAAAACTAAATGATTTGCATTCTTTTGGTGAGGGATTCCATCTTATTTATTGGAAATTCAATTTTATGATGTGAACTTTTTAGCTAATCACAGCTCTATGATCTAGTTCCAGATCTAGAAAATGAAGTATTTCAGAACATTACAAATGATTTTCGAAGCATGGGCACTTACTGATTCAACAGATCTAGCTTATTGTATAATTTTTAGTTGTCCTTGTCTCTGCGTTCTTTTATGTATTTTTAAGCTTCTTTGCGTAAGTTTCTTCTTGAGTTGGTTTTTTATTTAGGGTTTAAAGATTGTCTTTGAGGTTATGTTCAGAATTTTTACACAACACCCCAAGTATATTATTATTATTATTTTTTTTAATTTATTTTATTTTGTAATTATTGAAATTTTATTTAATTTTTTATTTAATTTAATTTAATTTGATTTAATTAAATAAAAATAAAAATAATAATAATGATAAAGTTGGGTAAAAATATTATTTGAATTTAATTGAAATTGATTTTGAAAAAAAAAGGTGAAAATTTAGATTATAGGGGTGTTTTTGAAAAGAAAATCGGAAATCGGGGGTCAAAACACAATTTAAAAAAGTTGTGTCACGTCAGCAGTCACGTCAGCGGTTGGGTCAGCAGTCCTGGCCAACCAGGATGTGCCGCGTGGCAAGGAAACGCTGACCAGGGGACGGGTCACGTGGGCGATCCGCGTACGCGTGATCGGACAACCCAGATCCATTCCCGCGTGCACGGACGGCCCAGATCAAACGTGCGCACGGACGATCCAGATTCACGCGCACGAACGGTCCAGATTCAATCAGGCACGGACGGCCGAGATTGCATCGCGATAGACGACCCAGATTTAATCCTAATTAAATCGCGATCGAACGGTCCAAATTTAATCTTGATGGACGGTTGAGATTAAAAGGCAAAGGGTATAAATACCCCCACCCACACTTGACCAAAGAAACCCTAGCCGCCAGTGCTCGCCGGAGAAAAGACCATACGCCGGAGGAGCCGGCCGCCGCCACCCGCCGCCGCACCGGGGAAGTTTCCGACCGCCGATCGAGGTAAATTTTCTCCCCCTCGCTCGTTTTTCGACGCTGAGTCCGCCTATGGCCAAACCGGAGCCAAACCACCAGCCAAACGGCCGGAAAACCCAGTCGAAACCCAGCGGCGCCGCCGCGCCCCTCCTCGGTTTTTGCCTCCGATGAGGCCCTTCCCGGCCTCCGTTTAATGCAATTTTATACCACTGTGATCACCGTTCTTTTCTCTACAGGTTGATCGGAGCCAAACATCAAAACGCGACTAACGCCGGAGGAGCCGCCGCACTCGAGAGCACCGCCGCCGGTAAGTTTCGGTTTTTCGTGATTTTTTGACCCACCGAGAGCCCTAGGGTTGTTCAATCGCAGGGACCGATGCAAGCGTGGCCGAAACCGGCCAACCCGAGGCGAATCGCCGCCGCAAGCCGTCGCCGGAGCACGGCGGAGCCGCCGTGCCGGATTTGCGATATTAGCCGAAAGGGGCCCTAGGTCTAATTTGGGATTTTTTGGGACACGTGCAGGTACCAGTAGTGCGTTTCAGTTTCCCAGGAAAAATTCAGAGAAAATTAGGGACAACCTGTAGGCGCACTGTAGAGCCATATTCAGACCAGAAAATAAGTAAGTACCCCTCACCCTATTTCCTATCACGGTATTAAAGGTAAATAAATAATTAAACTATACTGTGTGACTCTATAGATGTATAATTGATTAAGGTTGCCAATGGAGTCCGAGTATGATATTGGGTTGGTCTGTTATTGTTTGATTTAATTTCCAGTATTAAATGCAGCATGATGTTTGATGTAATTATATTATGGTCTCGTATGCATGAATCATGGTTTCTTTATTATGGTCGGTATTATGCTTAACCCGATACTGTGTTGTCTTATTTGGTGTCCATTACTGGTTTACATGTTGTGTGTGTTTGGATGATTGAAACCAAGAAAAAGGGTAAAAAGGTTATGTGAATTGATAAGTGGATAATGTGGACAGTCTGACTAGATATCCTGGAAACTTAAGAGATAAGCTTGTACTAAACAATGTGTTATGTGTGCCTTCATTTAGATTTAATTTAATATCTGCAAGAAGGTTAATACAGGATATTATATGCTATCTAATTTTTTTATAACAACAATGTGTCATCTAGGACCTTTTGTCTTGGAAGACACTTAGGATGGGCGAGATTATGGATGGACTATATTAGCTTAGACAACCCAAGGATTTAGAAAATGCAAGTCAAGAAATCTTTGCAGAAATGACACTACAAAACTCCAACAAAGAGGATAGAGACTTTGATATATGGCACTATAGGCTTAGACACTCTTCATTCAAATTTAGTTTTGATTTTGATCTGTTAGTAAACAAAGATTCTAAGTTATGTTATGTATGTCCATTAGCAAAAATGCATCAACTTTCATTTTCTGATACCAGTAATAAAGCAGAATAATGTTTTGATTTGATATATTGTGACATTTGGGGACCTTGTTATGAAATTTCTTATTACGAGTTTAGATAGTTTTTAATGATTGTTGATAATTTTACTAGATGTACTTAGGTATATATGATGCAAAGTAAGGTTGAAACACACATTTGCAATATTTTTGCACTTTTGTTGAGACTCAATTTGACATAAAAGTAAAAGTGATTAGAACTGATAATGGAAGAGAATTCAAAATGAAGAGATTTTATGATGAGAAGGGAATTATGCATCAAAAGAGTTGTGTAGAAACTCCACAACAGAACGGGAGAGTTGAGGGAAAGCATCAACAAATACTCAACACTGCAAGGGTGTTAAAATTCCAAAGTGGAATGAACACCAAATATTGGAGTGATTTTGTTCTTAGTGTTGCAAATTTAATTAATAGAACACCCTCCTATGCATTAGATGGGAAGATACCTTTTGAGGTTCTATATGGAAAGAACCCAAATTATAGTCACCTGAAAGTATTTGGGTGCTTAGCCTTCGGGTCTACTTTATTGAGTGGAAGACAAAAATTCGATGTAAGAGCAAGAAGATGTGTGTTCATAAGGTATCCTTTTTGTATGAAGTGATACAAATTGTTAGATGAAGAGACTAGTGAGATTATTATTTCTAGAAACATAATATTTCATGAAAAGCATTTTCTCATAAAGAAATGAAGTGTATAAAGGATATGCAGACTATACATGAGTCTAGGAATATATTGATATACGAACTAGAATCAAACACATTTGTGCAAGATAACACCAAGAACCAAGTAATGGGTCAAGCCCATATATGGAGGTTAGGGACCTCACACAGATAGAAGAGGTATCCACTAATCAAGAAATGTGTTGTATAAAATTAAAAATATCCACAACACCCATTGTAAAAAAATATAACCCTTTATAAGTTTATAAAATAGAAACTTTTTTTGTAAAATAGTATGACTCTTGGTAAGTATATAAAGAGATGAAAATTATTTCTATTAACTTAAAAAAGTAAATAATATTAAAAAAATATATTATCATTCTCTTTCTCACATTAAATTAAACCATAAACAGATTTGAGTTTTGCGGTGTGAAGATTACCCAAAACTCTAATAACATCTGAAAGAAAATAAAAAAAAAAACCAATAATTATTTTCTGTTGTCAAAAAAGCAAGCATTTTATCCTATTTCTTACACATTAAGATTAATTCTAATTTTATAACGTGGTATTAGAGACAAATTGTTGTATTTGTCCCAGCAATAATCATGTTCAATTTGGATTAAGTTTATTATTTTTTTTATGATGATGAATTTAGATGATATATATATATTTTTTCACATGTATATATTTTTCATTAAGAATCAGTAACTCCCAATTTTTTTCTTCTGTGTCGAACATTAAATTAGCATAATTAGTGAAAATCAGAAAATCTCAAATGCTTTGTCTTACCGTCAGGTGGTAGAATGAAAACAAAGAGGTGTGTGCGTGTATGCATGAAGGAAGAAAAAAAAATTGGGAGAGAGAAAAATATTGAAGATATATATATAATACTGAAAAAAAAAAACCAGAGAGAGGAGTTGCACTGGGTGTGCTTGAAAGAAAAAAAGGAAGCTTGAAAGAAAAAAAGGAAGATGATGATGCACTGTGATGTGTGAAAAAAGAAAGTGCACTGTGTGCGTGAAAGAAGAAGAAAAAGAAGGGGAGAGAGAAGAAGATGAGAGATATATATATACATAGATACATGCATTATATAGATATATATTTATACACATGGCTGATTCTTGCAAAAGAGGAAAATACCGTTTATTTTATTTATTTATTCTTTTTTTTTTAATCTCTCATCATGATATGATGATATCATCTATTTTGTCTTTTACTTAGAAAAAAAATCAGATGTTTAATAAAATGGGAATTGAACAGGTAACTTCTTCAACCATACTTTCAATTTTAGCACTTTCATCACCATTGGGCTAACTCTACATATAAATAAATGTTTGTATTTTTGCACATATTTGTTGGTTGGCAATACATGTATTTTAATAGTATTCTATGTATGTATAATATTTTATTTATTTGGACAACATGTTAATATTTTATAATGTTGTTTTATGATCACTATACTAATATATATTAACTAATTTATGTATATTAATTATTTACGTATTTTTTTATTAAATTGAGATAACTACATATATGTATGTGATATTTTTTTATGGTTCTCAGTAACTCAACATAAGAGACAGTGGGAGTGATCCTACTATTTTAAATAGTAAAAACGTGCCTACAAATGATAATCTACTGGAAAATGGGGTTAGTCCTCAAGATTCGAGCTTGGAACATGAGTTTAGTTTTCAAGTTCCAAATCCTATGACAAGGGACAATGAGCAAGATTTATCATCTAGTCAAGCTAGTGATGAAAGTCCTAGAATCCGAGGCAGTGAACATGAAAAAATTCCCTAAAGATATTTTTAAATCGAATGAAAAATTTTCTTATGCACTCTTTTAGAAATTGAGGAACATGATTCCTTTAAGAGGGTTATGAATTCA